CTTTTATCATCGCTGTTATATATTATTAAATGTTTAGCACTACCAGGGTGCAGAGTGTTGTACAGAACAGAGAAATGGGTTTACAAGGCAGATTATAAAATGCTACATTCTATCTTTAAAGGAATGGTATCCAAAGGAGATATTGGGAGAGAGAAAAACTAATTTCTTTTTTAAGAAACCGCTTTTGAAGATTGCATATACTGAAACAGCAAAGTAAAGTTGGGGCACCATGTGACTGACACTTAAGTTTTAACTGTAAGGTTTGCTTTTAAATTGTGATGCTGATCTATTGTATTTTATCATATTTGATTGTTGGAAGCCGCCCAGAGCCCTGCCTGGCGGGGAAAGGAGTGGGATAATAATGAAATGAATGAATGAGGCGGATTTTAGAATACAAATGGAAATTAATGATCTTTTTTTTTTTTTTTTTAAATGAACTGATAAAGATAGTATTTGGAAGTGTTGCATTAAAGAACAGAGCCAGGATTTCCAAAAGCCTGGATATAAAGTGAGAATAAAGCCAAGAACAAAAATAATCTGAATTGTTGCAGAATAATTTATTTCTCCATGTAGACAAAGACAGTAGCAAAGGAAACAATTAAGCAAGAGAGGCAGGCATTCTTTCTACTTGACAGTGCTGGAGACAAAGCCAAGAAATAGATCTGTACTTGTTCCTTCCAGTTTAGAAGGAAGAAGAGAAGACTCAGCTGCACAAAGGGGCAAATTTATACACGATGATGATGTTCAGTCGCACAGTCAAGTCCGACTCTTCATGATCCCATGGACCACATCACGCCAGGCCCTCCTGTCTTCCGCCATCCTTCGGAGTTTGCTTAATTTCATGTTCATTGCATCGATAAGTTAACACTGTCTAACCATCTCATCCATCTTCTTTGACCTTCAATCTCTCCCAGCATCAGGGTCTTCTCCAGTGAGTGCCCCCTTCTCATTTGGTGGCCAAACCCTCTCCAGTGTCTTTGCCAAGAAAACCTCATGGAGAGTAGCTTATACATACCTTTGTTAATACCTATATGTTATGCCGGTGGGGTAAAGAGCAGCTCCCAGAAGACATTTTGGGTAAGAAAACCTGTAGTGTGGTGGGGGAAACTTAAGCCCCCTCCCTCTGGATCATAGTCTCCACTGGAACTGGGCTCCTGAATACCTGACTCCCCCCTGCAAAAGAAAACAATGTCTGGGACCCCCATTATCACATTTAGATGAGCTCTCATGTGGTCCGATTCCTCAGTCAACATCGTACTATTCATTCCTCCTAGTTATCCAGCTTGCCCACACCTTTTCAGTTAACCGTTCTTACCACAGGTCCATCTGTGAGAACTTCATCAACTACATCCTCCATTTACAAGTTTTTAATTTCCAATCCTTGACTTGATTTGCTGGTCATTGGTATCTAAATACTTTACTTTGAAGGTTTTGGGTTCCAAAACTGCCATGTGTATCTTCTGGTGACTAAAGCGTTGGTTCCACACCCACTCATGTATGGAAGAGGGGTAATCAGCCTCCTAGCCCTCACTCAGCAGAGAGAAAAAGGAAGTCTAGACAGCAAACTGGAAAGGGCCATTATGCAGATCATGTTCCGTTTGTACCACCTGAAGTGCTTTGGGGCCTCTTGTTTTTGACATGCACGTGTGGAAGACCAGAGCAGTTTTAAATTTGCTTGCATTAGGTTTTTTTCAAGTTGGCTGCTGTTCTGCAGAACTACACAAAACCAAAATAGGATCCACGGTAAGTAGAAAATACCAAAAATCAACAAATACCATCCTACAGACGATTACAAAGTATCTCAAGTAATTTTTATATATTGTTTCTATATTTCTTATAAATTATTCATTATATTATCATATAAACATTAACAAAGCAAAAGTTTTAAGAGGGAGGACTCCTTTAAGACTATTTTGAATTAGTGCTCATTCCTCCTCCAACAGAGGTCCAGATATCCTCTTGTTTCAGTGTCTTCCTCAGGGAGTTCAACAGATATTTTCAAGCACAAGGTTGCTAAATACCAAAATATTTATCCAAAGTTCTCCAATGAACGCTGCAAAAAGTCTCTCTTAATGAGCTCAAGGCTTCCTCAAAAGTGCAAGTAACTGCACATTTAAGTGGAGATGCTGTGGGACGGAACCTGGGACCTTTTGGCCAGATGACCAACTTGGGAAATTCCTGGAGATTTGGGGGTGGAGCTTGGGGAGGGGAGGGAATATCAGCCATAGCATCCACCCTTCAAAACATCCATTTTTCCCACGGGAACTGATCTTTGTAGTCTGGAGATCATAATTCTAGAAGGTTCGACCTGGAGGTTGGCAGGCCTTCACCTCCCTGTATATTCAGAGTATAGAGATCCAGTGTGGTGTGGTGGTCAGAGGGTTGGCCTAGGGTCCGGAGGAATCCAGGCTCAAATCCCCACTGGGCAATGGAAACTCACTGGGTGCCCCTGGGCCAGGGTCAGTCACGTTTTCTCAGAGAGCCTAACCTACTTCATAAGAACATAAGAGACGCCAAAGGCCCATCCAGTCCAACACTCTGTGTCACACAGTGGCCAGAAATACCAGTGCCATCAGGAGGTCCAGCAGTGGGGCCAGGACATTTGAAGCCCTCCCACTGTTGACCCCCCCAAGCACCAAGAAGACAGAGCATCACTTGCCCCAGAGCCCCTATCTATACCTTGTGGCTAATATCCACTGACGGACCTCTGCTCCATATGCTTATCTAATTCCCTTTTGAAGCTGTCCATGCTTGTAGCCGCCACCACTTCCTGTGGCAGTGAATTCCATGTGTTAATCACTCTTTGGGTGAAGAAGTACTTCCTTTTATCCGTTCTAACCCGACCGCTCTGCAGTTTCATGGAGTGCCCACGAGTTCTTGTATTGTGAGAAAGGGAGAAAAGTACCTCTTTCTCTACCTGCTCTTTCCCATGCATAATCTTATAAACCTCGATCATGTCACCCCTCAGTCGTCTTTTCTCCAAGCTAAAGAGCCCTAAGCGCTTTAACCTTTCCTCATAGGGAAAGTGTTCCAACCCTTTTATCATTCGAGTTGCCCTTTTCTGCACCTTTTCCAAAGCTATAATATCCTTTTTAAGGTGTGGTGCCCAGAACTGCACACAGTATTCCAAATGAGGTCTCACCATTGATTTATATAGGGGCATTATGATATTGGCTGATCTGTTTTCAATACCCTTCCTAATAATCCCCAGCATAGCATTGGCCTTCTTTATTGCAGTCACACACTGTCTCGACATTTTCAGTGAGTTATCCACTACAACTCCAAGATCTCTCTCTTGATCAGTCTCTGCCAGTTCAGACCCCATCAATGTGTATTTATAGTTAGGATTTTTGGCTCCAATGTGCATCACAGGGTTGTTGTGAGGATAAAATGGAGGCGACGGACAGAAGTTTCTTTGGGGAGGGTCCGTGGATCAGTGGTAAGAACACCTGCTTGGCATTCAATAGGTCCCTGGTTCAATCTCTGACATCCCTAGTTTACAAAGGATCTGACAGTAGGTGATGTGAAAGACCACTCTCCCTGAGGCTCCTGGAGAGCCGCTGCCAGTCTAAGTAAGCCACACTGACCTTGATGGACTCATGGTCTGATTCAGTAGAAGCAGGGGTCATTTCGTAAAAAAAAAAAAAAGGTGCAGGAGCTCATATGCATAACTGACCATAATTTATTTGCATATGACACACCCCCTGACAAAGGGCAGGCATGCTTAAAATGCCTTTCTTTCCCTTCCCCCTGATGGAAAGCAAAGGATGGGTTCCCTACTCCTGGGCTTCTTACTCCCGGAACGCCGTTCCTGCTCGTTCCCCCTCAAAATGACCCCTGAGTATAATGCAGCTACACGACACATGTATTCTTTGCATTTCCATGGGAGAGTGAGGAACAGATAGAGATAAATACTGAAAATAAAAAGGAGGGGTTTTCTTCAAAGGAAGATGTCCCCTTTTTTGGTGTCCATCCTCTTTTGGGCTCTTTATTAAAAACTGGTGAAAGTGGCCTCTTTTTGGGTTTCCTAGCTAGTCACAACTATCACAGCTTAAACAGCAGGGGGTCTTTCAAATGAGATTTGTCACAGCGGTCACTTGTTTGTAGTAGTCCATTGGGAAGTATGGCCTCTTTCTTTGCTTTTCAAAAGGTGGTCACCCTATGTACCACTGAATAAAACAGGAATTATATAAATATTGTAAAAAGCGACAGAGTACAACGATTTGTATTTTTCTTGTGAATAGATCCAGGTGGGTAGTGGCTGTGTCGGTCTGAGCGCCCAGGGGCACCTGCTACACCAACCAAGTTTTAGTCAAGGTATAAGTCTGCAGTGCAAGTTTATACTTTCCAAGGTATGAGTTTATACCCAGAATAAAACTTTGCTGGTCTGAAAGGTGCTGCCGGGAGTCGAACTGGGGCCACTTCCGCACCGTCACTTTTGTCACTCCTTTGCAACTATTGCTTTGGGTCCGTCCCCCCACCCCCCACCCCCCCAACTATGGAGTCTGGCGAGCCAAAAATCCTACTTTGCGGGCTCCTGGCATGAAAGCTGTGAGGGAGCGGTTTGGCTGCTGCATACAATTAGTTTGCTCCGGAGCCCCAATCCTTCCTGAGCGGAGACAAAAATGGGTGAGCCGGGGGCTAAAAACTACGAGCTGGCTCACACTAGCTCCGCTTTAGAGGGAACACTGGTCCCCCCGCGCCCCCTTTTCCACATGTGTTTTGCTCCCTCTGGGACTCCTAGAGAGAGCAAACCACACACACACCCACAGACTCTGAAGCAAAAGGGGGCTGGGGGCGCTGAAGCGACAGGGACCAAGGAGCGGCGCAGAGGACAGCGCTGAAGCGGGGGCAGGCGGGCTTTCCGGGCGCGCATCCTGAGGCGACCATCCGGGGCTGCCGGAGGCGGGGCTTGGCGGGCCGGAGAGGACTACACTTCCCAGCAGCGCCCTGCGCGCGGCCTCCTCCTCCTTCCTCCTCCTGAGGCAGCCGGAGCGGGCATGGCCGAGAGCGGGGACGGCGGCGGAGGCGGTTCCCCGGAGCAGGCGGGCCCGTCGCCCTCGGCCCGCCCGCCGTCGCTGGCGCCGGTGCCCCGGCTGGAGAAGCCGCTGCGTCAGGCCTTCTACAGGACGGGGGCGCTGGTGCTGGCGGGGCTGTGCTGCGGGGCGGCGGTGCTGGTGTACCTCATCCTGGAGGCCTTCCTGCGGCCGCTGCTGTGGGCCGGCCTGTGCGGCACCTTCCTGCACCCCTTCAAGAGCTCGCTGACGGCGCGCGGCCGCGGGTGGCTGCGCCGCCTCCGCCGCTCCGGCACGCCCGTCCTCCTGGCCGCCGCCCTCCTGCCCTACGCCCTCGCCGACGCCCGACCCGCCCGACACGCCCTCGACGCCGCCGCCCGCCTCCTCGCCGCCGGCCTCGACCTCTGCGGAGGCCTCTGGGTGAGCCGCGAGGGAGGGAGGGAGGGCGAGGGCCTCTCTGGGCATGGGCAGAGCGCGGCCCTCTGAGCCTCCTGGGAGAGCAGAAACCAAACCCCCCCTTGGGGAGCTGCCCGCATTCAGGTTGTGAGCCAGCCAGCCAGCCAGCCCTTGGGCTGCGACATGCACTCCTTTGCTCTAAGGCAGTGGTGTGGCAGGGGTGCCCCAGCCAGGCCCAGACCGTCATGAAAGTGTCGCATTCTCTGCCAAATAATGTTAAGGAAATGAAAGCATTTGGGATGGCTTGCCTTACTTTGTTTGGATCATCTTAACTTAATGTATGGGTTGTTTTTTCTAAAGTAAAACCTCAGAATTCAGGTTAAATTGCCCTGTTGGCACCTTGCGATAAATAAGTGGATTTTGGGTCTGGGTACTCGCCATCACTGCTCTAAGAGCTCAGACAAACAAAACAGGCCGGAGGCTAAAGAACTCCAACCTAGCTCACACTAACTCAGCTTAGAGGGGACGCCGCTGCTCCCAAGGAGCCTGGAGACCGCCTGGAATCACAGCGGCGGGGAGCTGATGACACACCGTTCGCGGAGTTCAGTTCTACCCCAGCGCAGATCCCCAACTGCCTTACAGCTTCTTCCTCCATCTACTTATTTCGTGTATAACATGATCCTGCCATTCCCCCAGTGGGAACTCAGAGACTAGCATGTGTGAGGCTCTTCTCCATTTTATCTTCACAACAACCACCCTGTGAGGCGGGTGAAGCTGAGAGTGTGGCTGGCCCAAGGCTTCCAGGGCACGAGGGGGGAGTGGAGCCTGAGAGTCCCAGAAACGGGTTGGACCGGGACACCACACTGGCCCTGTAGCAGGGGTGTCGAACTCATTTGTTATGAGGGCCGGGTCTGACATAAATGAGACCTTGTTGGGCCGGGCCATGTGTGTCATAAAATGTAATGCCAGGTAGCAGAGAGATAAACTTTATAAAGGACACAAACACAAAGGGGTGTTTTTTTAACTTAAAATAAAATCATGCTTAAAATCTGAGCACTCTTGCAATATTCTGTTTATTTAACAGTGTCTGATAACTGACACCTCTTGCTCTGAATTACTGCATCAAAATGTCTGTGCTGTTGCAATCCTGAGTATGCTGTTCAGGTGTGTATCTGTAAGCTCTGCAAACCTACGATGACGCAGGAGCAGCAGAACTGGAAGAAGAAGCAGAAGACAGCCAGTTCCACTGCAGGGCCTGATAGAAGCCCTCCAGGGGGCCTCATCCGACCCCTGGGCCACGTGTTTGACACCCCTGCTCTATAGGGCATTGTGCCCTGCAGATCTTATTATTTGCTTATTTATCAAATGTGTATCCGGCTCCCTTTCCCCTGAATGGGACCCGGGGCAGCTAACGGTGTATAAAGTACCCCTGATAAAAACAGTACAAAAGATACGATAAATAAACTTAAAAAATATAAATTGGTAGGTGATGTGAAATCCTTTCTGGGACTCTGCTGAGCCATTGCCAGTATAAGTAGAAAATGCTGGCTCTGATTTAGTATAAGGCAGCTTTGTGTGCTCTCCTCCATTTCATCCTCACAACAACCCTGGGAGGTAGGTTAGGCTAAGAGTGTGCGACAGGCCCAAGATCACCCACTGAGCTTCCATGGCATAGCAGGGATTTGAACCTGAATCCGACACCCGAACCACCTGTACCACACCACATTGTTCCTGATATACCCAAAGCTGGTTAGGATGAGCAAGCTGCCTGTGTGTCCTAATTTTTGCTGCTTAAGAAATCTGAAAACAGAAGTCGCGCGTTTTGTAGTGAACACAGGAAAGTTTGTTTTTTTGGGCTCAGAAATAGGCAGTCATTGGTATATAGCAGCGTAGAAAAACTGATCTCTTCAGCAGTCCAGTGCCATTGCACACACACACAATGTCACATTAATTGTGGACAAAATTAGTCCCATTTAAACCTATCCTTGAAAATATGTTGGATGTCTCTACACTATATGCAAGAATTAACAGCTAGTGCTGTAGGTTATTTTACATTTTAAAAATCATACTGTAAAGTCCTTAGAAAGCATTTTAAGAAGGTAAAGCCTTGCTTGCCTCCTGCCGGGGATCCCGTTCCTGGAGGTCACTGATATGGAGCCGCCTGGTCTGCTGTCTGCGCGTTGCACTTTGTACAATGGAGGTCCCAAAGGCTCCGGTGATGACGACCGAAGGGCTCTGCCAAGCTCATTTCAGCAGAGAATGTCCCACAGGAATTTTTTTCCAGTGTTCACTCAAATTTCCTACTTGCTCATTGGAGGGGGGAGCTTGGACCTCCCCCCTGGGTTTTTTCCCCTCCAAAATGTTCACATCTGTAATAGCACTTCTCTTTTCAAAAAGCAACCGGTGATTTCGGACAATCCGCTGCTCCGCATCCTATTGCGGAAGAACAGAGGGAGCTTTATTTCATAGAGAGGTGGCAGATGGGGTAGCGTTTTGACCAGGAGTACTTCACGCTGTGGAGGCTGCATTTCGTGTGCTACCTGATAATAATAGAACCCCCCCACACACACACACATAGATTCCCAGAATTACAGAGGTAATAAACCACTGTGTGTGACAGAGGGATGCTGTGGATCTTTCTCTGCTATGTTAGTTTAATGTGGTGCAGTGGTTAAAGTGGTGGGCTAGGATCTGAGAGACCCAGATTCGAATTTCCCCCTTGCTGGGGGAACCTCACCTAGCCTACTTTACAGGGTTGTTGTGGGGATAAAGAGGAAGGCAGGAGAATGATACAAGCTGCTTTGGGTCCCCCCTGGGCAGAAAGGTGTGTGTGTACAAATAATACTATATGCTCGGAGCATTCTGCTTAAGGGAACAGTGTAGAAATTCTCCATCCGTGCTCTGAACTAGGACAGTGCAGCGTTCTGCCATCTCAGCCTGTGTAGAACACATCCCACCACGGCCACGACTCTTGAATGTGGGATGACCCAACTGGCCAGCGCACTTACCCCTGTCTCACAATCAAGTTGGGTGAGCTCTGTTTGGATTGCATGCCTGTCGTTTGGGTGCACGCAGCAGGCCTCCCTTCTCCATTGGATAGTTTTGTGTATGAACAACAAAAGCTACAGTTTGGTTACTGTTGTAACATGACGCCTGTGTCTTGTGATTAAAGATGCTTGTGCAAATGCAAGGTGGTGAGGCATGTGATGCTGGCATCGAAGCCTGCCTTTCAAGAAGAGAAACCACTTCCTGACATTTAAGGCTGGCAGTAGTCTTGCCCTTAAGGGCATCTGGAGGACCCCGCCGGCATTTCTGCTGGCGGTTCTGTGCCAAGGAAGGGTGCGGCTGTATCAAATCACTGTTCCTCGTGCTCATCTAAGCCTCCAGGAAGCCTTTTTTCCCCTTGCTGTTTCCCGGGTTTCGTTGTACTTTGCCTGTGTCCTCATTAGTCAAGACGCAGTTTTGGAATTGTGACGTGCACCGTTGTGAGACTTTCTGGAGGTTCTGCTCTATTCACTGCCCTCCACTGTGTGTTCTTGCAAGCAACACTCCCTGGCAGATCACTGTGTGAGGTTTTTGTTTCTCTTCCTCTGAGCTGGATGGCCCAGGCTGGCCAAATCTTGTCGGACTCTGGAAGCTAAGCAGGGTCAGCCCTGGTTCATACTTGGATGGGAGACCAAGGCAGTCCAGTGGCCAACCACTGCCGTTCCCCGGCTCGTCTAGGCCAGTGTAGCCTGATCTCATTGGATCTCCGGAGCTAAGCAGGGTCAGCGCCAGTTAGTACTTGGGTAGGCCACCAAGGAGGACCAGGGTTGCTACATAGAGGCAGGCAGTTAGTTGTGAACCACCCCTGAATGTCTTTTGCCTTGGAAAAAAACTCAAGGGGCTGCAACTTGAAGGACTTTATACCACACACCAGTGATATCTTTGGAAAATAGCCAGGTAGAGGTTGCTAAGCCCTGAAAGAGAGGGGAAGAAATTAGGACTCGAAGCTTGTTTGAATGGGAATTGCACAGATGTTGTTAATATTATTACACATTCTTATTGTTGCTCCCACTGTACTGTGACATACAGCAGAGCACAAAGATGACGTGTTTAGCATTCAGGACATCGTTTTGAGTACAAGCCTTTGAACACTCGCATCACACGCAGAAATTTTTTTTAAGTGTTACGTATCACCTAAAAATGGGAAGACCTTTCTTTTGAATGTGACTGTCAGCCAGACCTTTGCCACGCCTTTGATCCACAGTGAGGTCTAGTAGGATTACTTGATCTGGATCCAGCCCCTGGGTTGCTAGTCCGCCAGATTGGCCTCTGTTGATTTGAGTCTGCCAGGAATGAGCGTTGACGGGTGTTTTCTCTCATCCCCCCCCCCCCCAGATATGGACCCTGATTGCGGGCTACCTGTTGGCCGTATTGTTCAAGTGGAATCCAAGCACCGAACGCTACTTGAGAACAGTCTCTGTTCCTATCTGGATTGTATTGCTTTTCCATTTGGGTGAGTCACTGCATGGTGGTATCTACGTGTACAGAATATTTCTGTAGACTGTTCAAAGGAATACCAGATTGGTTAAGAGTTTCTCTGAAAATCCATAGGTGACCCTATGAATTAATGTCCTCTGAAACTCCCTGTCATGAACAGCCTTCCTCAGGTCTTGCAAACTGAGAGCGTCTCCCTTGCCTTCGTCCCTCCATCTCAGGTTGGGTCTTCCTCTATGCTGCCTTTGACTTTTCCGACCAAACTGGAACTGTGTGCCCTTGGAGGCCCTGATTCCCATGATACGATGACGCTGATATTACCAAAGAATACTAGTAGAATCTGTCTAGCGAGCCTCAAGTGCATTTTGTGCTCTTCTGTTTGATAGCTGAGGAAAAGCTTCTTTCATTGAGTTTGCGGGAGGGGCCTTTGAGGCTATCAGGTCATTTGGGAGCAGCGGTGACTTGTCGGGTGCCATCCCGAGGATGCTGAGGGTTGTCCTCTTAAACATGGTTTTTGTTAGTGCTTCCTGGAAATAATCCTTAAATCACGAAGGCTGTTTTTAATAAAGTTGTTCTTCGAATATATCGCGTTGCCTGAAAGTAGCGATGGGGAAACAGTTTGGACGTGTACTTTGCTAGGAAGTTGGCTCCCCACCCAAGTCCAGTTTGGACTGCATCATGCTATAAATGACATAATTTGGAGCTCGACAGGATCGGGATCTTGCTCCCACCCCTTCCCCTTCTACTCTTCTAAACCCTCAAAATTTCCTTACTGCAGGGCAGAGCCAGGCAGAAAGAAAGGTCTCTCCCTTGACCTTCCCACCCTGGCCCCCGGATTTCCTTAGAGGAGGAGGAGGAGATTGGATTTACATCCCACCCTTCACTACCCAAAGGTGTCTCAGAGCCGCTTACAAACTCCTTTCCCTCCCCCTCCCCACAACAGACACCCTGGGAGGTAGGCGGGGGCTGAGAGAGCTCTGACAGAGACTGCTCTTTTTCAAGGACAGCTCTTATCAGAACTAGGGCTTGCCCAAGGCCATCTAGCCAGGTGCAAGTGGAGGAGTGGGGAATCAAACCCGGTTCTCCCAGATTAGAGTCCGCACACTTAACCACCACACCAAACTGACTCTCCTCCAGTATTTGTGATGTTGCCCCAGCAGCATTGCAGACACCAGGGAGGGGTGGGTGGGAGGTCTCTCCCTTCCTGCGTCTGCTGGTGAGGCTGGAGAGAGAAGGAGAAATTGTTTGCTTTAGGTTACAGCCCAAGCCTCTGCATCATTCTGGGGCTCTCCAGTGTGGTGTAGTGGACTCCCTCCTTCTGCCATGGAAGCTCACTGGGTGGCCTTGGGCCAGTCATAAATGCAGCCTGGCCTGCCTCACAGGGTTGCTGTTGTGAGAAAACAGAGAAGAGGAGAACAGTGTTATCAGCTGCTTTGAGTACCAGCTGGGGAGAGAAGTAGGCTATAAATAAATGCAGAGATCGTCCTCCTGGGATCAGTGGTGAGTGTTAGGAGTTGGGGAGATTTGTGTCCCAAAGCAGGGAATCACAGACTTTGATTACCTGAGACCTGTAGTTCTTTCATACCATCTTCCTTACAGGGCAGCTGCTGTTCTCGTCCTTAATCTCGTTGTCTCTGTTATCGTGCACATAAATAGTTTGTTTGTCCGTTTAGAGTAGGTAAGCTTCTGGAAAGGACAGAAATCCTTGCAGGAGTTTTAAAAAAGAAATAGCTGTTATCCAAGTGGGGGAAACCTTCTGATGGGCATTTGGTAGGACAAAGAGAATGCATTTCTTTCCCATGCTAGACATTTGAGTCTTTGTAGGATTTTTCCACGTTTTCATTTTTTTTACTCGTAAGTTCCTGTTTCTTCCAGGGGACGGACCTGTTCCATACATGTTTTGCTCCTTCTAGTGGTTGATTTGATATTGCGGTAATTTATGTCCGGTATAAAAACCTGTAGTTTCAATTTGCAGGGAGATATGCTGGACATAAATCAGTGTAATATCGAATCAACCATTAGAGGGATCAAAATGTGTGCAGACACCCCCCCTCCTCCCAAGAAACAGGAACTTACAAGCAAGGAAAATGAGAATTCAGGTTCCCTGAAAAACTTGCATTCATTTAAATATGCATTCAAAGAAGCATTCAGTGAAAATAGACAGATGATGCGGTTTTTGTACTGTTTCAGCTCCATATAAAGACTCCTGCAGCACAAGAGGAAGTGTAGGAGTTCTGCAAACAGCAGCTGAAAAGTGGTTTAGGAAATCTAGGAAATAAATAAGCATGTTTTTATTTGAATGTTCGGTATTAAGTTTGTTGCCCTTTATCGGGTTTCTGTTGAGCATACCATCTGAAATGAGTGCTGTAAGTATGATGACTGCTACTTCCTTATGCATTTTATTTTACTGAAGATGGTGCATATTAATGGGAAAACACTGATTCTCTCCCCCCCCCCCCCCCCCCCTTC